ACTGGCACAAGGAGACCTGTTTTTAGGATGAATTTGGAATTATCCCACCAGAGTTGGGACGTACCATGACGGGGGGGGGTGCAGTTAAGTAAGGTCTGGTTTAGGTATTCAGCCGATTGGACCCAAGGATCTGATGGGAGAGTATCCTGGCCTTGAAGGAGGTTCCATAACATCCTCTGACCAGCCCAGCAACCATCATTGAGACACTGCCGAGCATGGGGGTGCCAGTGGAATCCAGCTTTTTTAATGTAGTCTCTGACACCCAGATTTCACACCGTGATCCCCTTAGCGAAGGGTGGGGATTGGGGGTTGAGTTTCAGCACTCCCGGCAGTGGAGAATTAACCCGAAGCATTTCAGCTTTCTCAGTTAAGTTGCTCCAAAGTCCAGAGTTATCCAAGCTGTTTCAGGACCTTCTGGAAGTCAGGGCTGTATTTCCACCCGTGTTTTAATTAGCTTGCAGGCGTGGCAGGTTCGAGTCAGTGCTTTCCCTATTGGCTGTGGGTTTTGATCTTTTGCCTCTTTGTTATGATGCAGGTGAACCTAGACTGAGTGTTGGACCCCTCTTGTTTATTGTCGGTCCTGGAATGGTTCAGGTGAACTCGGAATGGGGGAGGAGCAAGGCAATGGTGCTATCGACCTGTGAGATATCTGGTTAGACAGACAGACTGGGGTGACTGCCGGGTGGGGTCCCGAGGAGGGAGGACCCTTGACCTGTGGCTGCTAGGGCGTTGGTAGCAGTGTTTGTGTTCCTTGCGGCTGCACTGAACCTTTGTGTCTACTCGCCTGCCCTTTGTTTGCCCCGACCTGCCTGGAGAGGCCTTTGGGAGCAGGGTTGCTCCTTGGGCTCCCTTCCTGTTTGAACTGACCGAGCAGGCGTGCATAGGCCATCATAAACCCTTGGGTTTTGGCAAAGAAATACCAACCTTATAATCCAAGCCTCTCAGAGAGGTGAGAGTGGGTGAGACCCCCCTCCTTTGCCATCTGCAAAGCAGTTGGGGGCACAATTAACCTTGAGAGTGCCAGTTCCTTCTGACTCTGTCCATTCTGACTTTATTTTTCAAGCTTGTTTCTGTCACAAAAGGTTCAAATTCTCGGACACCATTCCCTATCAGTAGTACCTGTTCTGTGTTTACTTCTTTGCCAGAGCCCAAGGGTACAATATGATGGCCTATGAGCGCCTGCTCGGTCAGTCCAAACAGGAAGGGTACCCAGATATGTGTGGACACCGTTGTCGGGCCTGTCTGTGACAGGAGCCCATTGAAGTTTCTGATGACCTCATAGTCTCATGGTTGGCTCTATGAGCTGAGACCTCAGATTTGGCCTTTCCTTCCTTGTGCTCTTACCTTGTCTCTCACACCTTCAAGTTTTATTTCTTTTACTTACTTATTTATCTATTGTGTGGATAGATGCTATTACAACATGCTATGCTGTACTTGTGGAAGTCGGGGGGCTCTGTTGGTTCTTCCCTGCTCCCTGCCACCGTTTGGGTTTCAGGGATCCAACTTGATTGTCAATCTTGATTGTCAGCACCTTTATCTAGTGGACCATCTTGACAGCCTAAATGTGCAGTTTTGGTTTTGGTTTTTCAAGATGGTTTCAAAAACCTGTGTGGTCTTGGCTGTCCCGGAGATCTTTCTGTAGACCAGGCTGGCCTTAAGTTAGATTTCTTCTCTTAACTCATGGCCTTGAGTTCTAATTACCCCGAGCCAGTGAGGCCCTAAGTATGAGAGTCATTTATGAATCTCTGGTCGACAAGTGTCTGTCTGGTGTGTTCACTGGTGACCAGGGGCGGTAGCTATCCTTGCCCTGTGGTCTTTCCTATGCAGACACTGTAAATCTGCCCCTTCTCAGTGCCTGATTCCCTTTTCCCCTTAAAGGGAAGATTTTATACCTTAAGGAAATGTGGAAGGGGAGGAGCAAACACCTTAATGGAATTTTAGGCAGATTCAGCATTTTTCTGGTATTACTCCAAAAATTCCCTCAGCTGCCGTAAAAAAATATGAGCGGGCATCTGATTAAGCGAGCCTTTTACAATGTAGCTTTTCTTTCGGATGCTTTAGGGTGAGCACGCGTAGTTTGAAAACAAGCACCTGTACAGTTTTCTGGGGAGGAAAGGTTGAAAACACTGGAAAGGTTATAACGCTGGGAGAAATTGACGAGTGTAGTGGGTCAGTGTTGGGAATATGAGCAGTGAGGTGGATTTCCTGTCTTCTTCTACCCACTCCTCCTGTGGTGACCAAGACTTTGAAGACCCTGTCTATGCGTCCTGGGGAAACTCTAGTAGAGATGCACCTACCCTAACCCTTGTCAGGAGACCTGTGGGCTGTGGCCCGATTCGGATAACTGGTCCCTAAGTGAGCCTAACCAGTCAATATTCGGGCCAAGGTGGAGATTTGGGTGCCACCATTGTGTGGTGCTGCTGTAGGGTCTCACGGTGTGGCCTCGTCATTGGGATGAGCACTGAGGGTGCTGATGTGTGCTCAGAAATAGTCTGGGCAGGAACAAGGGAAGGCATCGAGCTGATCTGTGTGGGGCTGGAGCCTAGGAAGAGCAAGTAGGGGTCTCCCTGTGGTGTGAGGGGACACCCACACTGCCATTTATCTGGGCTGGGTCATTAACCTCCACAGAAAAGGGCTTTTTCCTGGGGATGCCTGGCAGTAAACTGCCCCTGCGATGAGAAGGAAACCCAGGCATGCTTCCCCTCCTCACTCCCTCTTCCCCACAGGCCTCAGACCCCAGCCTCTCCCAGTTTGCTCTGCCCCAGGCTTGCCTGGCAGACAGGACCCCCGCCCCATGCTGAGGAGGCCAACAGGCCTGGCACTGGGAGCAACTTGATCCCAGGCTCCTCCTCCTCCTCCCTCCCTTTGCCTCCATTCATTCCCTTCCCCCTCCCTGTGTTGTCTGGTGCCAGGTTTCAGTGGGGCTGGGATGCATGAAACAAAGCATCCGAGGCCCCTCAGAAAGTCCCCCCAACCTCTTCTCTTTTTAGCCACTCTCCAAGTCTTCCTGTCCCTGGCCAGGTTTTTTTGTTGGGACACTTTGGGGAGCACTCTTGTGGCCAGAAGTGTCTTACTTCTTTGGGCGTCAGGGTCGTTGGTGTGGCTTCCAGAGCTGAGCTCCCTCTGCAAGAAAGTTCAAAGATTGCCAGGGCTCACGAGTTTATTAGCAGTTGATGGATCCTTTGCAGGAACAAGTTAACGCCTGATGAGTCACCTTCTGCGCCGAGCCCTCGTCCCTCTCTTGTTTTTCCTATGTTCTAGTGTGTGTGCAGGCACAGACACCCCGTCGTATACACACAATCAGATGCACGGGCAGTCTTGTATACTTGGGGGGTCATGGCAGTGGGGACAGGGGGCAGTGCAAGTTTGTGATTCAGGGATAGGAATCCACCACTTCCTCCGTCTTGGCACCCCCTTGTGTGCTAACTGGGCATGGATTGGGGAGGCCAGTGTGTTTGGGGGTGTAGTTGGTACGAGGCTACCTTGTGGGTTTCAATCTGTTACAAATATACAGACTCGCACATGGGATGTCCCATTCAAAACCGACTGCTGCTTTAAAAAAAAAAAAGGCAACGGAGCTGACTGGATCCCAGGTCCTGACATGCCTATAAAAGTTGGAATGGATTGATGTACCAAGCTGCCCTGGGTTACCAACAAGGCTGAGTCTTCTTGGTCCTGCCCCTCCATTGGGGACAGCCCTCATCCCTCTGAACCCAGAAACAAAGGACACACAAGGACACACACACACACACCCTCCATCTTTAGGGCCCACCGAACTGAACCTACCTACCGGAGTGGGAGATAGGCAGGAGGCTTCCAGTTCTGCCTTGGTGTCCCCATCCCCCACGCCTTCCCCTCTTGCCTTTCCCCATTTCTGTTAACAAATACAAAGACTTCCGGTCTCCACCCTGCTGCCACAAACCACAGCGTTCCTGCAGCCTGGCGGGGCTGGGGAGATTTATAGTCCTCCGTCTGAGGCCTGTTCTCTTGGCTAGAGTTAGAGGAGGTAGCAGAATGGCAGTGTGTGTGTGTGTGGGGGGGGACTATCCTCCACATAGCGCCCCCCCCCCCAAAGGTCTCAGAACAATTGCTTAGGAAAATCACCTCGGCGGCTTCACCCCAGGCTTCGAGGCTGTCGTGGGCTGTGCCAGGGTGGACTTGCAAGTTAGGAAGGGGGCAGGTGGACTCCACAAGAGGCAGCGCGAGCCGTGCAGGAGTGGGGGAGGCACCTCCGGGACGGTGAACGCCAGAGAAGGAGGACCACAGGATGGTCACATTTCAGACACAGCATCTTCTGTCTGGGCCGGCAGTGGTCTAGGCTGATGCCCACATGCATGCTGTAATTTGGCATCTGAACTTGAGCTTCTCTTTTGTACGGGCTGCTGCCGTCACACACCGAGAGTTGTCGGGAAGATGACTCTTTTTTTTTTTTTTTAAAGCCCCCAGAGCCACCCACATCTTTATTTTTACCAGCTGACTCTCCCTCCTGAACAAGGCACTGATGCGAGAATCGGATGACTGGCCAGCTGCAGAGGGTGCAGACCGCCTGGCTTCTCGGTGTGACTGGGTCACCACCCAGTAGGCCCTTGTCCCTCATCCTAGAGAGGCTGTCCATCCACGGGATGCGATTCTAGGCCATTGCTGAGGCCTTTTCCAGCTCAACACAGCGAAAATAAGTTAGCGAGGCCTCAGGAGTCTGTGCCTCTGGGGGATAAGTAGGCCCAGGTGCTGATGCTGTGGAGTTGATTGGATGGAAAGCGAGAGAGGACAACAGTAGTAAGCCCCCCCGCCATGTGCTCAAAAGTGGTTTAAGATGTCTTAGGCTCCCCCCATTAGCATCACAAGATCCTAGGTCGAGTCCAGGCTTACCCTCACCCCCTCACTGGTTATGGCGACTCAAGAGCGTGTGTACAAACGTGATTATGTATATTTTGATTTTAGGAGGGAAAAGAACCTGGTCACCATCACCGCCAACTATGTCTGCCGTTTTTGTTTTGTAGATTCCCAACTTCTTCTGGAACCTGGGGATCGGTCACACTGGTGCGTGGTGGCATACTGGGAGGAGAAGACGCGCGTCGGGAGGCTCTACTGTGTCCAAGAGCCCTCCCTGGATATCTTCTATGATCTACCTCAGGGGAATGGCTTTTGCCTCGGACAGCTCAATTCGGACAACAAGAGTCAGCTGGTGCAGAAAGTGCGGAGCAAGATTGGCTGCGGCATCCAGCTGACAAGGGAAGTGGATGGCGTGTGGGTGTACAACCGTAGCAGTTACCCCATCTTCATTAAGTCCGCCACACTGGACAACCCGGACTCCAGAACGCTGCTGGTGCACAAGGTGTTCCCTGGTTTCTCCATCAAGGCTTTCGACTATGAGAAAGCTTACAGCCTGCAGCGGCCCAACGACCACGAGTTCATGCAGCAGCCATGGACGGGCTTCACCGTGCAGATTAGCTTCGTGAAGGGCTGGGGCCAGTGCTACACCCGCCAGTTCATCAGCAGCTGCCCGTGCTGGCTGGAGGTCATCTTCAACAGCCGGTAGTTGCGTGGGGAGAAGAGGACAGGATGGAGCGTGAGCCGAGCAGGCCACCATTCAAACTACTTGCTGCTAACCTTTCCCTCCCGAGTGCTTGCTTTTCATGCAAACCCTTTGGTCAGTTTTGCTGTTAACCATTGTTGGTTGTTTTGTTTTTTGTTTTTTTTTCCTTCTCGTTCTTATTTGTGTTTTGTTTGTCTTGTTCTTTGAGAAATAGCTTATGATGAATTTGTTTGTTTTTTGTTTTGGGCTTTTTTTTTTTTGAGGTGGTGGGTGTGGTTGACAGGATACCCCAATATAAAAATGGGAAGCAAAAGTCAGCACTGCCAAACGTGGTATGTGAAAGTAGTGGGTACTGCCTTCCCTTCAGAGTGGACATCCCGAGCATGTAGGGGCGTGCGTGAACGGCAGATGGGAGAAAATGCTTTTCTGTGTTCCTTATGGATGTCCCCAGCTGAGAGACCACAGTTTCAAGCTGTGTGCCCTTTGGACATGCTCAGTGGGGCAGAGTCAGTACCTGGGCGAACTGGCAGCAGGTGTCCCAGCAGCTGCCAAGCTTTGCCCAGCCTGCCGAAGCCCCTGCGCTGCCTCCCCCCTTTAGGACACGGGCCTATCCACAGGCTTCTGAGAAGCCAGCCTGATAGAGGCTGAACCATTGTTTTCATCCCTGCCTTACTGCCTCCTGTCACCCGCTGCCATTGTCATGTCTGTCTCTTTTGGCCATCTGCTCCTGGATCTCTCTCTTGAGATGGGCTTCCCAAGGGCTGCAGGGACAGCCCAGACACAGTATTGCTAACCCAGGACCCTCGGGGTGGGGGTGGGGGCCCTCAGCCGGTTCCCCCACTGTGGTTTTTCATCAGGTTCCCCCAACTTGTGTGCTGAGCTCTGTAGACCAGCGAGGGGCATCCCGGAGAGGGAACTGCTCAGTGGCCCCCCCCTTCCCACCAAGAAGGGTGTGGCCCTGCCATAACAGAAGGTACCATCCTAGGCTGACTCCCAGCTCTTCTCTCAACTCATACACTCGTATGATACTTTGACACTGTTCTTAGCTCAATGAGCACGTTTAGACTTCAACATAAGCTATTTTTCTAACTACAAAGGTTTAAGTGAACAAGAGAAACATTCTCATTGGAAATTTAGCATTGTAGTGCTTTTGAGAGAGAAAGGACTCCTTAAAAAAAAAGCTGAGATTTATTAAAGAAAAAATGTATTTTATGTTATATATAAATATATTATTACTTGTAAATATAAAGACGTTTTATAAGCATCATTATTTATGTATTGTGCAATGTGTATAAACAAGAAATAAAGAGAAGATGCACTTTGCTTTAATATAAATGCAAATAACATGCCAAATTAAAAAAAGATAAACACAAGATGGGTGTTTTTTCTATGGGTGTCATCACCCGGCTGAATGTTTTTCTAAAGGAGTTTATGTTCCATTAAACAGTTTTTAAAATGTATACTTCATCCCATGTTGTTCAGCTGCTTCTTCTTTTGCTGGGAGGGAGGCTGGGAAGTTCTCTGTCGGAGACAAAGGTGAATGGCTGGGCAGTGAAGGCTCCTGGTCGTAGTTCCCGGGTCGAAGACCACCCTCCTCCAGGGATCCTCTTGTTTGGTGTGGTTCCGGGTTTCCGGGTTGTGTATTGGGAAATGGCTAGAGGTTTTGGAAGTTGGAATTGGGGAGAACCGGTGTGTCAGCTGGGAAGGTGGGGTCAGTGGCCGAAGAGCAGGTACATCCTCAAAAGCCAGGTTCCCTTGGTTCTCGGTAATTCAACATGAACCAGTGTGTCTTTCTCACGGGAGGAGACTTTGCTAGAATTCCAAGAGATTTCCTGGGCACCGGGGCCCCAGGAAGTGGTAGAGGGATGAAGCCTCACTCCTTCCCTCTCAGTGACCAAGCTTCACTCTTAGCTGTTGATGACTGATCGGTTCTCCAGGCCTGAGGTCCAGTTTATCCTGGGCTCGCGCTGTGAGGTCTCTTAAGTACTTTGCATAAGCCGATCTGAGATTTTTGCCCGTGTTTTAGGTTAGATTCAGCATATGTATGCCACATGGGTGCATCGTATCCGCGGAGGTCAGAAGAGGGTCTTAGAGTCCCCTAGAAGTGGAGTTTAGGTATCAGCTGCCTTGCGGGATGGTGCTGGGGATTGAATGTAGGGCCTCTATGAGGGTAACAAGCTGAGGAGCCATTTCTCTGCTCCCAAATACTCGCCTTAAATACTGAAAGCTTCAGTAGATAACCAGGCGTAGTAGTAACCATGTAGGGCAGCGGTTCTCAGCCTATGGGTCATGACCCCTTTGGTTGTTACATAACATATCCTGCATATCTGATATTTACATTATGATTCATAACAGTGCAAAAATTAGGAAGTAGCAATGAGATGATTTTTATAGTTGGGGGTCACCACAGTGTGAAGAACTCTATTAATAGGAAGCATTAGGAAGGTTGAGAACCACCGAAGTAGGGTAGTTAACTGTTTAGTTTCCCCCAGGACCCTAAGTAAGAATGGAGCTGTTGAGAGGCTGAGGGAGCTAACTGGCAAGATGTTTACATAATGCAATCCTGTGTGGCCAGAGTCCTAAAACTCACTTCACTGGCCCTGTTGTGGGAGAAGAGCCTCTGAACTGGGGAGGTAGACACTGGCCTCTAGGAGGAGGAGGCTGGAGTTGGGTCTGGAGTATGGGTTCTAGAGGGGAAGGGAGGCTGTTAAGTCTGGCATTAGGTGGAAGCTGATACCACCCACACCACATCTGTGCCCAGGGCTGGGCTGTTGGCATCTATCACAGATGTTGATATCCTGCCTTCCAGCCTCACTTGAAGGCATGATCTGGCTTGGACGTGGGGACGTGGCAAAGTTGTGTTAGCCCCCATGTAGCCTGAGAATAAGACTATTTGGTTGGGTTCTGATCCTGCTGGGCAGTGTTCTGATGTTTTACCTGAGGATTGCCCCATACAGTCCCTACAACCTCTAGCTACACACCATCACCCCCATTTGTACATCAACTTCTTGAGGTCCCCCCCACTGGATAGTTTGGGTCTGACTTAACATGCTAGCTAATCTCTGGGTATGGCAGGGTTAAGATGATCAAGGCAGGCGTGTGTTTTCATAAGTAAATTCCGGTTTGAAAGGACAGAACCCATTTGACTGCTCAAACCCAGTGCCCACGATTTGCTATGTTTATTGATACCAAGAACTCTCCTAAGACCATGCCGCACCGAAGAGGATGCTGGCTGACTTTTCTGACCCAGAAAGAGTATTTGAAAGGTAAATGGTTTTCCCTGACCACCTCCCCTTTACAGCTTGCACCTGAGGCTGATTGGCACCCGAGTGACACAGCACAGAGGGGCCTCTTTGTTGGTCTGTGCGTTCTGGATTGTTCCAAGAAAGCAGATGTCCTCTGTCATTCCAGGTGTGTTGCAGGCATGTGGGGTAGAAGATGTGATAAGAAAGAGGTCGTGGCTCACAGTTACAGGATGAGGAATAAAACGCGGTTTGTGCACACACTTGGGTGAGTCACCCAGCACTTCTGCCAGTGTATGAAACAGCGGGCATCCTACCTGCCTCGTGGGGCCACGGTGTGGATGATTGAGAAAATAGATGCAAGGAGCTGACTGGACCACGTGGGATGGCTGACTTTGATGTACAGATACAGCAGTTTCATTCAGTTAAATCCATTGAATGGATCGGCTTGAGGGAGTGAAGATGAGAAGTCCCCCACCTTCATCATTCTCTAGAGCTGCAGACAAGGCCGGCTGTCCTCAGGGGGTATGCACAAGGGAGCTGAGAGAAGACGGTAAAGGACCATGGGGGGAGGGGATGGAAAATACTGGGGAGAGCCCTTCTGTTTAGGATGCCATCAAAATATTGAACGTAGGCCAGGCAGGAAGCAAGGCCGACCGACAGAAGCCATGGCTTGAAAGCCAGGGTGGCCTGGCTTTAGGCAGTGGATTCAGGCTGCACAAGGGAGCAGCCTGCATAGTACAGTCCCGGTTTCCTGGCGCTGGAGCAGCAGGCCCAAGCTGCCAGCTCAGCACTTTTCCCTCAGCCAGAAGTGCCCCCCTCTCTTTCTGAAAGTAATGATTTTCTAAAAATGGATTCCTTCCCCTCCCCCAGCTGCAATTAATCTACTGAACACAAAGTGGCCGCTGGAGGAGGCTTCTGGTGAGTTCGGACCAGTGCAAGCTCTTTGATTAATTCAGTGATGATTTAGTGATGGGCGGGGCAAGGAGGGCTAGGGGAGCGCACACTGCCTCTGTGGGGACAGGCTGAGCCCACTTTGGGATCTGCGTAGTGACTATCAAACCCACAAAGCCTCAGCCAGAGCCTCTTCCTTTTAAACTTCATACCAGCCTTTCTGGGTCTTTGAGAGGCGGGCACACACACTCCAGCTTCGTCATTCTTTCATGAAGACCAAAAGCTGAAGACAGAGCCGGGGCTGCCGTTTTTGTGAAACCTTTGGAGGAAGGGAGACCAGATGCGTGGCGGATGCTTCCTTGTTTCTGAGCATTAGGGTAGATGGTGGCCCCAGACTTGGCAGTTTCCCTTCTTCTGTGGGCATTCCACTGGCAAGCGTGAGCAGAGCTCTGGCCCCGTGGAGCACAAACGATGAAAACTGTCACCAGGTGCCCCAGCCCCTGCTCTGTCTTCCCCTGCTGGTTTTTCTTGGCAGTGTTGACATCAAATGTGCTGTACTGTGTGCGCGTTTTGTCTGTTGTACCAGTAGAAGCGCCCCAGTATCTAGAACGATACCCAGCACACAGTAGACACTGCACACTCTGCTTAGATGAATGAATCCACGTTCAATGACTCATTTTCCCGGGGGAGGGGCGGGGGGAGAGGCGGTCACATTCCAGCCCCATTTCTCAAGAACAGTGGCTATCTGCTTACTTTTAGACACTTCATGAAACAAAGAGGTTATTCTTGTTATTTTCTTCCCAAAAGGTGAATGAAAAGCTCTCCCTTTTGGGGTAATAATAATAACCACAAACGCCAGAAGAGTCGCAATAAGGACAGCCTAGGGACTAGGAAGACGGCTTGGTGGGTAAAAGTGTTTGCCATGGGCTGCATTTGAATTTGTAAGGTTGGGGGACTTTTTAAGTCTGTAAAATGTTTTGCATTGTGATGCTTATATTAATGTGTGATCTTAGGGATGAACAGGAAAGGAAAGACTGTGGCTTTACAGTGACATGTTTGTTTGTCAAGTTGACAAGGTGTCGGTCATGCTGGGTAATTTTATGTCAGTTTGATGCAAGCTGTAATCATCTGAGAGAAGAGAACCTCACTTAAGAAAATGTCTCCATAAGATTGGGCTGTAGGGCATCTCCTTAATTAGTGATTGATGGGGGAGGGCCCAGACCATGGTGGGTGGGGCCATTCCTAGACTGGTATTCCTGGGTTCCATAGGAAAGCAGGCTGAGTAAGCCATGAGGAGCAAGCCAGTAAGCAGCACCCCTTCATGGCCTCTGCCTCAGCTCCTGCCTCCAGGTTCCTGCTCTGCTTGAGTTCCTATTCTGACTTCCTTCAATGATGAACGGTAACGTGGAAATGTTAACCAAATAAAACCCTTTCCTCCCCAAGTTGCTTTGGTCATGGTGTTTCATCACAGCAATAGTGACCCTAACTAGGTCACTATGCAAACCTGATGCTCTAAATTTGATCCTAGGATCCACAGAAGGCAGAATGAGAGAATTGACTCCTGAAAGTTGTCTTCCTCTGCCCTACACACACACACACACACACACACACACACACATCATGGGCACACATATGGTAGTGCCCTGCACACATACACACATCATGGGCACACATATGGTAGTAATAAAAACAAGCAGACAAACAACTTGCATTTACAGAGCACTGTGTATAAGAGAGATTCTGCAAGTTATCTTGTGTGGTCCTTAAGAGAATGCTATCATTTGCCCATGTTACAGATGAGGATGTGGAGGCTCGTGAGAGACCCACAGGAAGAGAGGAGGTACCCTATTACAGTCCAAGTCTTGCTGTGTAGGTCTTGAGCCCCAGACAGAGACTAGAGATGCCAGTGGCTACAGGAGTGGGGGGAGGGAGTGGTTCTCTGCCAGGGAGGGCTGCTCCAAGACCAGACTGTCCTATCCCGTACCAGCAGGGGCTGTAATCTTTGCTTCACACAGGCGGCACGCCATCAGCACCAAGTCTAATGACACACTGCAACCAGGGAAATTACAGTGCCCAGGAGACCTGTCCCAGAGGCCCTGCCCAGGGTAATTCCAGAGCAAGGATGAATGCTGGGAAATAACAAGGGCTGGGGCAGACTGCTGGCCTCAGGTAATGGAGTGGCGTGTGAGGGGAACGGAGGATTTGAGTCTACTTGTGCAGTTTTAAAACTGAAAAATAAAACCAGGTGTGGTACCAAGTACCTGTAATCCCAACACTCAGGAAGACCTAGAGTTCTAAGACAGCCTGGGCTGCATAACAAGACT